GAGGAATCACCTCCAGCCTCAAGAACATTGTGTGCTGATCGATAAAATGGGACTGGGCTTAATTTTCTTGCTATTATCAGGTATTTAAAATGAATTTGACATCCTCAAAATATACCTGACCACACTCATCACTGGTTTTTTTTTTAAAATTTATTTATAAAAAATAAGAAACAAACAAAAACAAAACTATTCAGAGATATATTTTTGTAGTTGCTTATACAGATTCCTTCAAGTCTTCATTTAAATTATTTTGCTTTCCCCAAAAACTTATCAGCATGAGAAAATTTGTTGTAATTGTGTGTAGTGTGTGGGTGTGTCCTACTTAAACTTTTCTTTGTGATCTTGCCAATGACAAAACGTGTAGAGGGGTGGGAGAAAATTGCAATTCCCTACTCTGGATCTTGAAACAGTTTCTGAGAAGGCGGTTCTTTGAAGTCAATTTCCAGAGAATGGTAAATGATCTGAGAAGCAATTCCACCAATGATGAGGCCTCCTGGCTGGTGCCACTCATGGGGAACAGGGACGGGTTCATTTGTCGGGCACCCCATGCTAGCCGCTTTGTACACCGTGTGAGGCAGCAGAAGCAGGAACATAAACAGAAGCATCCAGTCAGCAAAGCCTTGCCCTTGACACAGACTCCCCTCTGCTCATTTTCAGTAGCTGCTTGACTTAAGCAAACCACATTGGTTGGTACTTCACTCAGACTTCAGTATCCTTGGGAAACAAATGCTTTGAACTATAGCAGACATTGTCAACATCATAATTTCAAGTTGAGGAAGACCCCACCTGCCTTTTGCCTTTTCTCCCAGCGGTCTATGGCACAGGGAGTTATTTATTACCACTTCTAAATTTGCTCAGTTATAATTTTTTTATTGTCTTTTGGAAAAACTGTTCAAGCTTTGGGCAGATGAACAAATTATAGTGATTTCAATATTTCCCGAGAGATAATTATTCTTCATCACATGCCGTTGAAGTGACTCCCCACAATAGCAAATCTTAGTTCTTTGCACACCTTGTTTTTTTATTATAATATTTTATTAAAATTTTCCACAAGATAATGATATTTAAAACGACAGCAAAATACACAGTAGGAAGTTTTCTCCTAAAGGCAATTATCAGCCCCCACATCCCACAGAAGGCAGCAGCCCCTCCCAGCTTTCACCTGGAATTCTGCCTTTCTCCTCCCAACCTCTCAACCTGGGAGACTGACATTTCCCTGTCTCCCACCCAGGGCGCTCCTTCAACCATCTACCACCCCCATGAGTACACAATCCCTGGACCTACCAATTCACTTCACTTGACTCTACCCATGTCTATTCAGAAGTATTGCATTCAATGAGGAATACTCCCAGGTCAATTGTGATAGAATTGCACTCATAGGAACCACTCCTACACACAAGAAGCTTGCATAAAGCAAGCCAGTGTAAATTAAGGCAGCTTAAAGTTTCACAAAACCCAAAGCTTTTTGATGCTCTGCATCGGCCTGGTAGAGGGGAAACAAGCCTTTGGAAAACTGGCTTAGGCCACAGTGAAGGTCTCCCCACCCTGGTCCTGCCCTTACCATACCCCCAGAATTCCCCCTTTTGGAGAATTACACCAAACTACCTGTCATACTTTGGACGCGGGTGGCACTGTGGTCTAAACCACAGAGCCTAGGGCTTGCTGATTGGGAGGTCGTGATTCGAGTCCCCATGACGGGGTGAGCTTCCATTGCTCAGTCCCTGCTCCTGCCAACCTAGCAGTTCGAAAGCACATCAAAGTGCAAGTAGATAAATAGGTACCGCTGTGGCAGGAAGGTAAATGGTGTTTCCGTGCGCTGCTCTGGTTCGCCAGAAGTGGCTTAGTCATGCTGGCCACATGAGCCGGAAGCTATACGCTGGCTCCCTCGGCAGGTAAAACGAAATGAGCACCGCAACCCCAGAGTCGTCCGCGACTGGACCTAATGGTCAGAGGTCCCTTTACCTTTTACCTGTCATACTGCTTAAAGAAAGATCAGGCATACTTCATCTCAGCTTAGAATAACTTTATCCCACCTTCTTGTGCATAGGACTGCCCTCCCTGTGTATTAACCTCACCTCACAAATACTAAGTGGAAGGGAGCAATTCTGTACACAAGAAACTGGCATAAATCAGACCAGTGCAAATTAAGATGGCATAAATTACACCAGATCCAATAATTAAAAACCTCCAAGGAAGGAGAGTCTACCACCTTCCGAGGCAGTCCATTCTACTATTGAATAACTCCTACTGATGTTTAGCCAGTAAGTCATTTCTTCTAACTTGTATCTATTGGTTGACATCTTAACCTCTGGAGCAGGAGAAAACAGGCTTGCTCCATCCATGTGCCACTGACAACCCTTTAGATATTTAAAGATAAGTGCGAGATTGGCTCCATTATTACCAAATAATGGAGGTGTACAATTTGGATCAAAAAATTGGCTTCCAGGTGGAAAAATCAAAATTGGAAACAGAACTGTTAGACCCCAAAACTAAGAACTTGTCAAGAATGTATAACTTGCTGTTGAAATGGAATACTCAGGATGAAACGGTGAAATCAACTATGATTAAATGGGCACAAGATGTAGGACATAATATTATGATGGCTGACTGGGAACAGTTATGGACCACAGGTATGAAGTTTACGGCATGTAATGCCATAAGAGAAAATATAATGAAAATGATCTATAGGTGGTACAAGACACCAGTCAAGCTTGCAAAAATATACCATTTGCTCGATAATAAATGTTGGAAATGTAAAGAGACTGAAGGCACATTTTTTCACCTTTGGTGGACATGCCCAAGGATTAAGACATTCTGGGAGATGATTTATGATGAAATGAAAAAGGTATTTAAATATACCTTTCTGAAGAAACCAGAGGCCTTTCTCCTGGGCATGGTTGGCCAATTGGTGCCAAAAAAGGATAGAACTTTTTTTATGTATGCCACAACAGCAGCAAGAATACTTATCGCGAAGTATTGGAAGACACAAGATCTACCCACCTGGGAAGAATAGCAGATGAAGGTGATGGACTACATGGAATTGGTGGAAATGACTGGCAGAATCCGAGACCAGGGAGAAGAGTTGGTGGAAGAAGATGGGAAGAAATTTAAAGTTTATTTACAGAAACATTGTAAAATTAAGGAATGTTAGAAGGATGTTGGAATGAAATAATGTGGTTTTAGCAGAAATGCTATAAAGGATTAAGGAAAAATAGATTGTTAAATGGTGAAGGAGGGAAAGTAAAGTTACATTTTATTAAGATAGAATAGAGGACAAAAACTGGAAAAGATGGAAAGGATTTGCTGAAATAGTTAATTGAACTAGAATACAAAAAAGGGAGGTGTGAGGAGGTCAAGGAAAGAAGCAAACGAAAGACAAGTTATGGGAAGATGTATTTTTTCTCTCTTTTTTCTTTTTTCTTTTTGTTTTGATATTATCATGATGTGATGATTTGTACTTCTTAAATATGCTGTTTTTTAACTTTTTCTTTTTGTAACTCTTTAAAATGTAATAAATATCATTTTTTAAAAAAAATAGATATTTGAAGATAAAATCTGGATGCTGGAAGAGATCAGATGGGTGGGAAGCATTATGGTGGAGGCTCCTTTGGAGAACTTGGGTGTTTCTCACAACACAGACTTCTCACTTCAGGTTACAGATGCTGCTAACCCAGAAATAGTACCTTGGGTTAAGAACTTTGCCTTAGGATGAGAACAGAAATTGTGGCGCGGCGGCAGCAGGAGGCCCCATTAGCTAAAGTGGTGCTTCAGGTTAAGAACAGTTTCAGGTTAAGAACGGAACTCTGGAACGAATTAAGTACTTAACCCAAGGTACCACTCTAATACTGAATGATAAATTCAGATATGACTGAATGTTTCACATGCCCAGAAGAGCAAATTCCAAGTAAGGACAAAGATGAATGTGTGCCTAAAGTTATAACCTCTTCACTCCTAAATGCTACATCATTGTGTTCAAGCCCCAGATGAACAACAGAGAACAACTAATTAAGATAAAGTTTTAAAGAATCTACCTTGTTGTTTTCTGCTACTCTATGACTGTGTCAGCAAGGTACAGAGATTTCTAAAGTATTAATTTTGTTTTGATGAGTAGATGAGGGCACTGCCTCAAAAAAAGAAAGAAAAAAGAAAAGGAAAGAAAGAAAGAAAGAAAGAAAGAAAGAAACACCCCAGAAAAGGTACATTATGTATTGTCAGCAGATGACTTTTGCACAATGGATGGGATCTTTGGATAAATTGTGATATATGAAATGAATAACTAAAATAGTAGTAGTGGTAGTAGTAAGCGCAGTTGCTTAACAATGTTAAAATGTGACATATGAGTCTATGGGTGGATCTAAACACTGGGGGGAAACCACTGTAAATAAGTCACAATTTAGATCATTATAACCAAAGAAAAAAATCTCTATGGGAAACAGCGTTTTAAAATTTCCTGCTCTCTGGTGCCATCTGGTGTTGCATGTGTATAGTGCATTCAAATTGCTGTTTCTTTACTAATGCAGCTGAGTCCTATGATTGTATAACAGTTGCACAAGTGCATACTAAGTGTTTAGTAAAGATTGTGGAGGCTTTAAAGCTACTTGGATTCAAATAATAAAGTCAGCTATGAATCAATAAAAGTGTACAGATCACTGTCTGTTATTACAACATGCATTCTGGGAATAAGTGAGGATTCTTTTATATCTCTGAGAATCACAATAATAATCAATGTTGAATGTGTAGTGTTGCTCTGCTGTGAGATTACCTTATGGGGATTTAGAATGAATTAAAATACAGTGGTACCTCAGATTAAGAACTTAATTCGTACTGGAGGTCTGTAATCTGAAGCGTCTGTAACCCGAGGTACCACTGTAGTGGCTCCCATTTGGTCTTCCTTTCTTTGCCAGGTGTCAAAGGGGAATAACATAGGGACTTGCTGAGCCCAATACACAGGCAGGCAGCAGGAGTCTGACACCATTACATTTCTAGACATTTCAAGAGAAATGTCTGGGTTCCTAGTTAACAAGGGTTCCTATAAGGTTCCGCAGGTAGGAATTCTCTCTGTATATTTAAATTTGTGTGAGAGTGATTTAGGCTCTTCTTTCTTATGCTAAGCTTTATTTTCTAGTTCAAAAGGAGGGAGTTGACAAAAGCAGGGATTGACCAAAAGAAAAAGGAAAATCCTTCTAAATTTACCCATTGTATTGTATTTATTCTTCAATTGTTATTTAACATTTATTTATGCAAAGCCTTTGGCTCTTAATTATCTATGGCTTCCATTAGTGGGTGGGATGTTTTAATCCTGCTATCTTCTTTTTAAAACCCCACTACCAATGTTGCCTTTTATCCTTGTTTTTCTTTTATGGTGGTTTTAATGACCACCATAATGTTTGTTTATATAATGGAACACATTTTGAGTTACCTTCATAACAAAGCAACCAATAAATCAAATAATTAATTTATTATAATAACAATACATTCTATATCCTTGTGAAATTCAACTTCAAGTGTTATCTGTAACTCTAGGTTTCCAGACTGTTTCAAGATATATTAGTTGTATAATCAGAACATAGTCAATCCTAACTTTTCCTTGCAATATCTGTCCATTTTCTTTCAGCTCACATATGGCTCATTTGCCTCACAAGAGAATCATATCACTCAAGGGCCATCCTTTTTTCACCTCGTCCCAAATGAAACTCAGCAGTATATGGGTATAATCCGGTTACTCCAATATTTCAAATGGACATGGGTTGGGCTTCTTCCAATTGATAATAGCAGTGGCGAACATTTCTTACAGACGCTGGAGCCATTATTTTCCCAGTATGCGATCTGTTCAGCATTCACAGAAAGAATACCACAAATAGCCCACTGGGATAGCTTGGAGGAACTTGGTAATATAGCCACAAAGGTTTATGTAATAAAGGTTTATATAATAAAGTGACTACCTTTATTATATATGGAGAATCATTGACTATATCATGGCTGAGAACTATTATATTTATACGAGACACTGGAAACAAGGAGAACACATCACTCAGAAAGGTGTGGATTACGACAACCCAGATAGATTTCATATTGACTGGCATTCAAAAGGGCTGGGGTCTTCAGATGTTCCAAGGTGCAATTTCCTTTACAATCCACTCCAAAGAGATTGCAGGGTTTACGGAATTTATTCAGACCATAAAACCTTATGGGCCCCAGATAGATGGTTTTCTGAAGGACTTTTGGGAGCAAGCCTTTGACTGTGTGGCTCCTAACCCCAATGCCACAATGGATGTTAATGAAATATGTACTGGGGAGGAGAGGCTGGAGAGTCTTTCTGGGCCACACTTTGAACTGCTCATGACAGGACACAGCTATAGTATCTATAATGGTGTTTATGCTGTAGCATATGCTTTGTATGTTATGGGCTCTTCCCGATCCAAACAGAGAGCCAATGGGAAAGGTTTCAGTATTGAACTTGAAGATGTTCAGCCTTGGCAGGTAATGTCCTTACAAATAAGTATTTTTATTTCAGTAGCCAAATAAGTACAATGTGAGGCTATATTTAGCTTTCTCCTGCATTAATCACTTCAACAACAACAACAACAACCTATAAAATACATTCAGCCAATACAATATCCAACTCCATATCCTCAATGTATTTTATAGGTTGTTGTTGTTGTTGAAGTCACTGGAGTCTGAATATGCAATGCAGAATGAATTCCCATAATCCCTGACATTTAGTCAAGCTGAATGCTTCATGAGAATTGTAGTCCAACTTTTGAAGTCACTACCTGACATAAGATGAACTCTCCAATTTGTTTACATGCCACATTCTTTTTTGGATTCCTCCTATCTCAGCTCCATCACTTTCTTCACCAGATTTCATTTAACAACTCAGCTGGGGAAACCATTTCCTTTAATGACAAATGGGAAATGGGAGGCGGCTTTGACATCATAAATATGGTCATATTTCCAAACAACTCTTTCCAGAGAGTGAAAATTGGTTGGATTGACCCAGAGACTCCTGGAGGAGAAGAACTCATCATTCATGAAGATCTAATTGTTTGGCACAGTGGTTTCAACCAGGTATGAATTGTGGTACGGATGAGCTGGAAGGTGCTGCATTCAATGTCCTTATAGCCTAGGATTACCTTGCTGCTTTTCCAGGCAGTATTCTGGCCAATCATGTCATGAGAAAAATAAAGCAGATAGAACACTTTATATTTTTCAACAAAGATTGATGTGACAACTATGTCTGAAATTTTTGAAATAGCTCTGGTCACAGAGATAACTTTACACCAGCACAAACATTACTTGGAGAAGGGATTTCTTGGTTCTTTGTCATTTTTTCTTTTTATATAAAGTGGTACCTCGGTTTAAGAACAGTCTGGTTTAAGAACAATTTGGTTTACAAACTCCGAAAAACTGGAAATAGTGTCTTGGTTTGAGAAATTTACCTTGGTCTAAGAATGGACTCCGAACAGTGGAAGGGCACCAGCAGCGGGAGGCCTCATTAGGGAAAGCACACCTTGGTTTAAGAACAGTTTTGGTTTAAGAGCATACTTCTGGAATGGATTAAGTTCATAAACCAAGGTACCACTCTCTCTCTCTCTCTCTCTCTCTCTGTGTGTGTGTGTGTGTGTGTGTGAGAGAGAGAGAGAGAGAGAGAGAGAGAGAGAGAGAGAGAGAACTAGATATATATGATTGACATACACACATATATAATAGTAAGGGTTTCATATTAGCTCATCGTCTTTGCCATCTCTTCTGTATGCACATGAGGAAATTGAAACAATAGTGACTAACTCACTATATTCAAATGCCTTTGTGGTTCATCTTTGTGAATTCTCTGCTGGTTCAACTATTGGTATTCCCAGAGGTGTTTCCTTGTCTGCACAGTTAAGTACAGCTAGGTGCTTAAAAGATCTAAGGTATCAGCCAAGATAAACAACAGATGTATATCTCTGTCTATCTAACCGAATTTCCCTTTGTAACGCCTTTCATGGTTATGGATAGGTGATGCCCATTTCTTTGTGTAACGACTACTGCTATCCTGGTAACCAGAAGAAAAGGAAGGAAGGGGAGAAATTTTGCTGCTATGATTGTACTCCATGTCCAGAAGGGAAGATTTCCAATAAGATGGGTAGGTTATGTAGTACCCCAATGTTTCCCCCACACAAGGCAAATTGAAAAAGTTATATAAGATTTCTATTCACAAGTGGAAATTTATTATCAATCGATTAGCTAAATCAACATCAGTATATGCAGAAGGCAGAAGGGAATGTATCTCCCAATTTCTTCCATGGGCAACAAAACCTTGGTTCCATGTTGCATAATAGAACATGAATCCATCCATGTTCAACTTAAGAGGCTCATCCAGAGGTGTGCTTATTTGTTTACTGCACCCCTCCTCTGCTGTCCAGCTGTATTGTTGGATGACCCTAAAATGATAATATTGTTTGACTTCAACATCCATGTGGAGGCTGCTGTCAAGCCACCTTGAGACTTCATGACCTCTATGACAACCATGGGTCTGTCAAAGATGGTCTATGGTCTAACAGACCAGGAGGGAAACACACAATGGCCAAACAGTGAAGTTATATTGGATGAGCTAGAGGTTACTGACTTCCAGTAAATGGGAGGTACCTCTGGGGCATTTGAAGACCCATTGTGACCAACTAGCTATGCATTTTGAGGATAAAGTCACTTGACTTCAAAGTGATGTTGATTCTGCACTTGTTGCAGCCCTGGTTGAGGTGCCCAGTGACACTACTGGGGATGTTTTGTGGAACCAGTTCCATTGTATGCAATCAGCTGATGTGGACAAGGTGTTGGTGGCAATGCATCCATCTTTATGAGTCCTCTTGACCCAGGTCCCTCCTGCCTTATTAAATCAAACTGATGGGATGCATCCAGAGTGTGATTAATGCTTCACAGCATGAGGGGGTCCCCTGCGGCATTCAAATCACTCCTAAAGAAGCCAGCTTTGGACATTTTGGATCAGAACAACTATTGACCATTTTCAAATACCTCCCTTTTAGGGAATGTAGTAGCTTATCTATAGACATTCTATTCTGGGTTCAGGCTTGGCAATGGAACTGAGTCAGCCTTGTTTGCCCTGATGGATCACTTCTGCTGAGAGCAGGAAAGGGCAATGTGACCTTGTTTCTTTATCTTTCATCTGCATTTGATACCATTAAACTCCTGGATCAGCCCTCCGGGGAGTGGGAATTACGGCCACTTTATTACAGTTGTGCCATTTCTATCTTCAGGATTGAGTCCAGAGAGTAGCATTATTATTATTATTATTATTATTAGTATTATTATTTTGCTCCACATAGGTAATAGATACTGAAATTAGAAATTTTCAATTTTTAGATATGGCTGGAAACTTCAAACAAAAGTTATATGAGTTATAACTGATGTATGAGAGGTAGAGTGCAGAACAGTCCATATGTAACAGATAATTAATACTGAATGATAAATTTACTTTTTTTTAGATATGACTGACTGTTTCACATGCCCAGAAGAGCAATTTCCAAGTAGGGACAAAGATGAATGTATGCCAAAAGTTTTAACCTTTCTTTCTTATGAAGAACCTTTAGGAATCACTTTAGCCTTCACTGCTGTTTTTCTTTCCATTATTGCAGTCTTGGTGCTAGCAATTTTCATTAAGCACAGGGATACACCCATTGTCAAAGCCAACAACCGAGGCCTCACCTATACCCTCCTCATATCGCTCCTGTTCTGCTTCGTCTCATCATTGTTTTTCCTCGGCAAACCTGGAAAAGTGACCTGCCTTCTCCGACAAACAGTGTTTGGCATCATCTTCTCAGTGGCTGTTTCTTGTGTATTGGCCAAAACCACCACTGTAGTGATAGCTTTCATGGCCACAAAGCCAGGATCCAGCATGAGGAAGTGGATGGGGAAAAAACAGGGACAGTCTGTTGTTCTTTCCTGTTCCCTCATTCAAGCAAGTATTTGTACCTTGTGGTTGGCAACCTCTCCTCCTTTCCCTGATTTAGACATGCACTCAGTAACTGGAGAAATCCTTGTGCAATGTAATGAAGGGTCAGTCACCATGTTTTACTGTGTCTTGGGTTTCATGGGCTTCTTGGCCATTTCCAGCTTCACTGTGGCATTCCTAGCCCGCAAGTTACCCGATAGTTTTAATGAAGCCAAGTACATTACCTTCAGCATGTTGGTCTTTTGCAGTGTATGGTTGTCTTTTGTTCCAACCTACCTGAGCACAAGAGGGAAATACATGGTGGCTGTGGAGATCTTCTCCATCTTGTCCTCCAGTGCTGGGTTACTCGGCTGCATCTTCACCCCTAAATGCTACATCATTGTGCTCAAGCCCCAGCTGAACAACAGAGAACAACTAATTCGGAGAAAGTTTTGAAGATTCTGCCTTGTTGTTTTCTTCTACTCTATGACTGTGTTGGTAAGGTACAAGGATTCCTAAAGTATTAATGTTGGTTTGCTGAGTAGGTGAGGGGCAGCCACCAGTTATACCTATGTCTCATCCAGAAGGTATAGCAAAATACATTTTGGCAAATATAAAAAATCCACCCCGAAAGAAATTTTACCTCAGAAAAAGAGGACCTGTTCTGGAAAAAGATTACAAATGTCAAGATGAGAAAATGGCTCCTTGCTTGTTGAACTCAGTGACAGATTTGAATATGAACTGAGCCAGCTACAGCTCAGGGGCAAATAATCTCGTGGATCTTCTTGTCAAAACAAAACAAAACACCCAGGCATCTGAAGGCAGCCTTGTTTAGGGAATTTTTAATATTTGATATTTTATTGCTTTTGTTTTATTAATAATAATATTCCAGGTGGTCAGGGTATACATAAATGATTAATAATAATAATAATAATAATATACTATCTAAGTTAAGTTGCTTAATGATGTTTAAAATGTGACATGTGAGTCTATGGGTAGATCTAAACACAAGAAAAGAAACACCATAAATAAATTGGATCATTAAACTAAAGAAAAAAATCTCTATGGAAATTGTGTTTTAAAATTTCCTGCTCTCTGGCGCCATCTGGTATTGCATGTTTATAGTGCATTCAAATTGCTGTTTCTTCACTAATGTAGCTGAGTCCTATGATTGTAAAGCGGTTGTGCATGTGTCTACTTATTGTTTAGTAAAGGTCTTGGAGGCTATAAAGCTACGTGGATTCAAATAATAAAGTCAGCTATGAATCAATAAAAGTGTACAGATCACTGTCTATTATTACAACATGCATTCTGGGAATAATTGAGGATACTTTTATATTACTGAGAATCACAATAATAATCAATGTCGAGTGTGTAATGTTGCTCTGCTTCATTACCTTATGTGGTCACCTTATGTGGATTTAGAATGAATTAAAATAGAATTTAATTCATTCATTAGAATGAATTAAAATAGAAGGCTGATCGCCGAAGAATTGATGTTTTTGAATTATGGTGCTGGAGGAGACTCTTGTGAGTCCCATGGACTGCAAGAAGACTGCAAACCTATCCATTCTCAAGGAAATCAGCCCTGAGTGAGAACCTGAAGCTCACTGGAAGGACCGATCGTGAAGCTGAGGCTCCAATACTTTGGCCACTTCATGAGAAGAGAAGACTCCCTGGAAAAGACCCTGATGTTGGGAAAGATTGAGGGCACAAGAAGAAGGGGATGACAGAGATGGTTGGGCAGCGTTGTCGATGCTACAAACATGAGTCTGACCAAACTGCGGGAGGCAGTGGAAGACAGGAGTGCCTGGCGTGCTCTGGTCCATGGGGTCATGAAGAGTCGGACATGACTAAATGACTAAACAACAACAACAAAATAGTGGCTCCCATTTGGTCTTCCTTTCTGTGCCAGGTGTCAAAGGGCAATAATATAGGGACTTGCTGAGCCCAATACACAAGCAGGCAGGCAGTAGGAGTCTGACACCATTACATTTCTAGGCATCTGATTTCTAGCGGCATAGCTCAAACTTTTTACTATCTGCTCCTGAAAATTCTCCTAACTGATGGTCCTGCTCTTGGTCTGCTCTCCAGGGCTGTGCCTCACAGATTGGTAATATGCCATTCCAGGAATTGGAGAATGCAGGTCTGACTTGCCCTTAACTTAAAGCCTCATGCTTGGGAGTTTTTCCCCATGCTGGCCTCCAGGGTTTGTTTGCCAGGCTGCAAACCTGTTAAGAACCTACTGGCAGACCATGGACTAGAAAATGATTCCTACATTACATTGGCAAAAGCTTTGGCCTTCACAGCTGATTCTGGGTTGGATTTCATACAAATGAATTCTCTTACAAAGAATGTAGAAACAGCACCAATGTCAAGCTTGTGTTCCACGCAGTATCTCTCTGCTTTTCTGAGGAGGGCTTTTAGTGGTGACTAAACTTGAGGTCATGCCATCCTCCCACTATCCTAGATCAGGGGACAGCTTAAACATTTTTGAGTATCACTGTCAAACACTGTTCCTTCCTGGTGTTCAGTTCCTACAGGGAACTTCATGACACCTGCTGCTCTTTGTGCCACAAGGAACAGTGGAGATGTATAAGCTGATCTGGAAAAGGAACTAACATATTGACTATGGGGTGGGCGTGGGGGAGGAATGTCACTCAGGAGCCAAATGCTAAAGTACCAATTATGGACCACTGGGATCATGGAAACCCTTATTATTTGTTCGCCTGTCCCAAGTCCCAAAAGCTTTTGGAAATATCTACTAGTATTCAAGGCATGTATTTGTATCTCAAAGGCATGACCGATCTATTTCTCTTAAGAGAGGTATTGCAAGAATTAGCTACCAACCAATGTAGTCTGTTAAATCTGGCAGTATGTGTTGATGAACAGAGGAGAGCCTCAATCTAGAGGGAAGCTTCACTGACAGGATGCTTTGCCTTCTGAAGCTCTTACCTTTGCTGACTGCTATGGTGTCCAAAGTCGATACTGTGGAGTGTCTTGCATATGGCCCCCACACTGTTCCACATGAGTGGTTGCAGCCAGGAGCTCTTTTTCATTGGGGCAATTGTTTCTCAGATAGTTTACCATTCTCATGAATTGTCCTTCAAGGTGCATCCTTCTCAGAACCTGTTTGATGTTCCAGAGTAAGGAATTGCTTCTTTTGTTCTGCATGTTTTGTTCTTGGTTCCATGTTACATAATAGAACATGAATCCATCATGTTCAACTTGAGAGGCTCATACAGAGGTGTGCTCATTTGTTTACTGCACCCCTCCTCTGATGTCCAGTTGTATTGTTGGAGGACCCTAAAATGATAATATTGGTTAACTTCAACATCCATGTGGAGACTGCTGTCAAGCCATCTTGAGACTTCATGACCTCTATGACAACCATGGGTCTGTCAAAGATAGTCTTTGGTCTAACAGACCAGGAGGGATAAACACAATGGCCAAACAGTGAAGTTATATTGGACGATCTAGAGGTTACTGACTCCCAGTAAAGGGGAGGGACCTCTGGGGCATTTGAAGACCCATTGTGACCAACCAGCTATGCATTTTCGGATAAAGTCACTTGACTTCAAAGTGATGTTGATTCTGCACTTGTTGCAGCCCTTGTTGAGGTACCCAATGACTGGGGATGTTTTGTGGGACCAGTTTCATGTTATGCAATCAGCTGATGTGGAGAAGAGGGAAATACATGGTGGCTGTGGAAATATTTTCTATATCATCTTCCAGTGCTGGGTTACTGAAACTGCCTCTTTGCCCCTAAATGCTACATCATTGTATCCAAGCCCCAGCTGAAGAACAGAGAACAACTAATTAGGAAAAAGTTTTAAATTTTATTTTTTAATTTTTCATTTTAGAAACCATAACAAGAGAAAAAACAAAATTTAGATATCAAATTGCCTTTGACTTCCCTCCCTCCTTTTTTGTGGATTTGTATGTTTACATGTTCCTTCTTCATCTGATCACTTGCTCTAATTATTAAAAATTCTTAGTCAGGCCATAGTTCAGATTTTTGGAACAAGTTTTCTGTCAAGCCTACTAATGAGTACAGTTGTTTACAATAAGTATTCAACTACATTATATACTCCCCCATTCTTTATTGAAGTTTGATTCTACCTGGCTCCTGATTAAGAGCCAATTAGGAAAAAAAGTTTTAAAGAATCTTCTTTCTTTCTTTCTTTCTTTCTTTCTTTCTTTCTTTCTTTCTTTCTTCTTTTCTCACTGTGCTTTCTGAGGCACAATAATAGATAGCTGAGTCTGCAGCTGTTGCAAAGCTCAGCTGGAGGGAGAACTCGTTCCTGGAGTTGTCTGAAGAAATGGTTGAATGGCTCTTGAAAGAAGGAGCATAATCTGTGCTTGCATCATAAGGGTAGATCCTTCCAATCCATTCTTGACCTTTCATAGGAATTTGCTGGATCCAGTGCCACTCGTGGTGCTGAGTAGAAATTGAGAAACCCATCACTTTACAGAACAGGCTGAAGTTCTCTTCTGCTTTCACCGTTCCTGGCCCAGATGACACAAGTTGGATGTCCAAGAATACCCATTGGAAACACAGACAACTGCAATGAGCATTTGGCATCATCTAATCATGGAAATAACCCAATATTTTTGAAATTCCCACAGAACGTGTACTTACTTTTTTGAAAGGCCATCAAAGCAAACAAGAACAGGCACAGCTTCATAATGCTAATGAAGCAATGCCCTGGGTAACCGGAAAGGGGGAATCTTCGGACTGAGAGCAGAGTGAATACTTTGTACTGGGAGGGTTTCCTTTTGGACACCCCACAGCCTCCTGAAGTGATTTGCAGGAGACCTTCCTCCAGTAATAATCCATAATTTATACCTGGCCCACCACTTTGCAGCTGCATCTTCTGAGTCCAGTGGCCATATGTTACTGAAAAGAGCTGTTGGACTATGGTTGCTTTTGGTTTAAACTACTTGGAAACAGAAGTTGCAGTCACAGGGAGATGGTCTATAATTTTCATAATAATAATAATAATAATAATAATAATAATAATAATAATAATAATATAATCAATTTTTCAACTTAATTCACAGATTTAAAACATTTATATTCCAAAACAAAAATAAGATTCTTTTGAATCTTGGGACTTCCTTCCCCCCCTCCGTGTGTCCTTTCAATATCTTGGTCTACTGCATATTATAAGTCATCCAAATTATAGTTCTCCAAACATATCCCCAATCTTTGTGTATTTGCAAGAGTTATTCAAAGCCTGCCCAAGATTTCAAGTGTTTACAGTGTTCTTTTAAGTACTGTATAGTCTATATTTGTCCCATTCTTTGTTGAAGTCATGATTCCCCAGTTCCTGATTTTCTCAGTCAGTCTGGCCATCTCTACATATTCCAATAATTTCATCTGCCAGTCTGCCTTTGTCGGCATCCTGTCATCTTTCCATTGCTGGGCAAGCAGCATCCTTGCAGCTGTAGTTATGTGCATAAATAATCTTCTCATATCCTTTGATATATCTTCACCTAGAAATACTAAAGGAAGGCTTCTGGTTTTTTAAAAAAGGTTATTTTAAACATTTTTTTAAAGTTCATTATATATCATTTCCCAGAATTTTCTTTTCTTTTTATAGCTGTGGATTGTTCTTGAACAAGGAATTCACCAGCAGAGCTGCAAACTGACATGAGTGAAAAAGTAGGGTTTCACATCTGAATTACATTCATTATGACATGCATCATGAGAGTCCTCACATGCTGAGCTGTGCATGGGTGTCTATGGGAATGGGACTGCACAAAACGGAGGGATCAGACTAGCAATCACAATTATGTGGAAATTGTTCTTCAGTCTCTTGCAGCTGAATCAACACAGAGAGCAGCTGAGGGAAAAGGAAGGTTTTTGCCTGGCTTCTGATACACTTCCTCTCACTGTGTCTCTTCTCGCACAGTAATACACAGCTGTGTCCTCAGGCTTCAGGCCGTTCATTTGCAGATAGAGGAGGCTGTTGGAATTGTCTCTGGAGGTGGTGAATCTTCCCTTCACGTTATCCAAGTAGTAAATCCTGTCTGAATCATACTCTATGATTGCCACCCATTCCAGGCCCTTCCCAGGAGCCTGTCTCACCCAGCCCATCCAATAGCTACTGAAGTCAAAACCAGAGGCTTGACAGGAAAGGCGAAGGGACTCCCCAGGTCTCTTGACATCACCTCCAGATTCCTGGAGCTGGATTTCTGACTGGACACCTGGAAGGGAAAATACAGTACTATAATTACACTGCAGGCACAAGAATAGCTAAAATCTAACAGTCCTCTTCACTTGAAAGAAAATAAATTACCTTCAAATACTGCTAAAAGGAAAAGACAATGAAGCCAAAATGTCATTTCCAATTCTTCTGTTTTCCAATAGATTAAATGAAATATGGTCATCAAGGCAGGCAGACTGAGGTGTGTCTTTGGGTGTTGCTGGGGCAGGGAGAGTATATAGAAGACTTGAACAGGAAGTTGTCAGTGTATTTGCATATTCCTCAGGATAAAAGAGCAAAAGGCCTTCAGGAGACAAATCTCATTGAGCATAAGCATGATTTATGGTAATAAACAGGGCATAAAGCACTGGCTCAAGATGCTGACACAAGCAGACACATTTATCTCCTGTTCACTGCAACCCAAGACCTGAAGAAATAGAAAGAAAGTTAATACACTTTCTCAGGGAGCCAAAGTCCCCAGGTTTCCCCCCTCAGCAGAAAACAGCTGAGGGAATAGTCTCACGGATGAAAACAATGGTATTTAGAGAACAATTTTATTTCAGTCATGGTTGATGCCATTTTGTGTTCTACAGACCATGCCTGTCCTCTTCTGAGATATGAGCTGTCAGAGAAGGGTTAACTTTGGTTTTGCCTACCTGTAACAAGGGAATGGTGCAATGTGGTGAGAAGAAATGTGCAGCCTTTTATGGCTGCCGATTATTTCCCGTACATGCAATTTGCCTGCAGAGTTGGGTATTGCAATGATTGTTTTGTAGGAATGTGTGTGAAAAACTGGGGCTTGGAAGCTTGCCAAAAGGCAGAGAGAGAGAGAGAGAGAGAGAGAGAGAGAGAGAAGAAATTTAGTGTTTCCTGGATAAACCACCCTTCCCTTCTTGGGTCCATGCTAGAGGAAGGGCGACACTATGAAAACTGAAATTGCAATTGAACTTGGCGTGATCATTTTAGCTTGTACAGAAAAACCCCCTTAAATATGTCAATCTGTGGTAGGGTAGCTTTCGCTGTGTGAATGGGAACTCTGGAAATGTAGTGGTCGGAGTTTTAGTTTCAGTTATTTGAACACTTTTCTTCAGTCTCTTGCAGCTTGCAGAGAAAAGATGTGAGCAAAGGAGGCTGTTGGAATTGTCCCTGGAGATGGTGAACTGTCCCTTGACTTTATCCGAGTAGCGTTTGGCAGATGAATCTGTACTTATATCTCCCACCCATTCCAGGCCCTTTCCAGGAGGCTGCCTCACCAACGCCATGTAGTAGCTGCTGAAGGTGAAGCCAGAGGCTTGACAGGAGAGGTGGAGGGACTCCCCAGGACTCTTGACATCCCCTCCAGACTCAACCAGCAGGACTCCAGATTGGGCACCTAAAAAGAACGGCATTTTAGCATAACTGCTGCATGTCATTACACTCAGAGTGTCCCATGCTTTTTGATTTGAGAACGGATGAATTTACCTCCAAGAGCTGCAGAAAATAAAACAAGTTGCAGCAAAAGTATCATCTTCCTTATCTATTTCTAGAGAGCTGAATGAAAAGTGGGCTCAGGTATTCAAGGTCACTGGTGTAGTGAGGGGGTCTAACCATCCTAAATAGGTGTCTCTCTCTGAAAATTTGCATACCCAACAGGAGAAAAGCAGCAACAGAGACTTCAGGCAGTGTCTGTAGGCATATCTAGTCTTTGAAAAAGTCTGCTTCCTCGTTAACGTACAACTTCAGTACTTCTTAACAAGGGTGGAAATATATATCTTTCAAAGGATAAAATGAATACACAAACATTTGAGGGGGAAAAGAGTCCCCTTGAACATGCCATGTACTCCTGGTGAAAAATTTCTTGACATTGTTGCAGGGAGGAATTGTGCCGGAATGGCAAGTTCAAGTGAAGCAGCAGAAGGGAAGAAGAAGAAGAAGAAGAAGAAGAAGAAGAAGAAGAAGAGTTTGGATTTGATATCCCGCTTTATCACTACCCGAAGGAGTCTCAAAGCGGCTAACATTCTCCTTTCCCTTCCTCCCCCACAACAAACACTCTGTGAGGTGAGTGGGGCTGAGAGACTTCAGAGAAGTGTGACTGGCCCAAGGTCACCCAGCAGCTGCATGCGGAGGAGTGGGGAATCGAACCCGGTTCACCAGACTACGAGACCACCGCTCTTAACCACTACACCACACTGGCTCTTAAGGGAAAGCTTAGGTTAAGTACCAATTTAATTCGGTCATGGCCGATGGCATTTTCTGTTCTTCGCACCATGACTACCCCCTTGGGGAGACGAGGAGGAGGAGGTTGTGGTGGTAGGGAGTTCTGAGGTCTTGTATTTTGACAAGATGGTTAATATGTGATAGGATAGAGATTTATGAATTTTCCTTCAGTGATGACAGAAGATGTGTTCTAAGACTATAATAAGAAAGGGGATGGAAGCTAGAATTATACTTTAACTAGGAGGTTTCAGAAATCAGACTCTCCTTTGTTGGAGGTTTTTAAGCAGAAGTTGTCAGGGATTCTTGCATTTAGCAAAAGAAGTGTTAATTTACCAATCCCAAGTGTTATCTTACCAATCTTAAGCAATAGAGGGCATCTGTGTTTGTTTGGTGTCAAACTCATGCCTGACAATTCTGTTGCACACCATCCCAATCTCCGAGAAGCAAAAAATTCCAGGGGTCAGAGGTGCATTCAGGGGAACATGACAAGTATGGTTGCACTACACTTGGAGTCTTGGGGTGCCATAACTATGATTTAGTATGGAGCATGAGAGGTGGGGGTTTAAGTTTTTGGCATCGCACAGGGTGCTGCTGAAATTTGAGATCCCAAGGTTCAGCACTGCAGGGTTTCCAGCCCTTGGTGTAGATCAGGGGTCTGCAACCCGCGGCTCCGGAGCTGCATGTGGCTCTTTTACACCTTTGCCGCGGCTCCGGGGCGGATACTAGCAAGGGGAGGAGGCGCATTGTGCGCCCCGACACTCCCCACTGTGGCGGGTGCTGTACTGGCTGTTGTGACGTCGCATGGGGCGGTGCGTGCCTTAGTCACGCACTGTCACGACGTCACCTTCCCGCCCGCTGTCAGATCGGAGGGCAGTGGCGCACATGCTTTAAATGTCGCAATGGTTTTGCGGCTCCCAGTTTTTTTTCCTTCGGAAACGGGTCCAAGTGGCTCTTTTTGTCTTAAAGGTTGCAGACCCCTGGTGTAGATGAACCAGACAGTAGAGTCACACTTTAAAATATGAAGTATTTCTCTCCTCTCAAAAATCACTATATAGGTTGAACTAGGCACACATCATACTGCACATGTCCTGCTTCCACATTATGTATTGCATAATCACTATCTATGACAGTTTTATTTTAATGCGTCCAATCTATAGGACACCTAGATTAGGAGAGAAGTCAATTGTGTCATGGATTCCTCCTCCATGAATTTTTACTAATGGGCTGAAGAACTAGAGAGATGTCTCTCATGGCTTCAGGGTCTCAAGGGGCTCATACAAAGTTGGTTCACATGGAAATGTCTGAGGAAAATATGAGGAAATGATTACAGATGAAATCACCAGTGATACTTCAAGCACCATTTTATGTTAGTTGTGGTTGATGATATTGTTAGTTCTTTGCACCATGGCTCTCCCTTTGTGTGTTCCTTGTGACGTGCAGAGAAATGTATCAGTCTGAATTATCTAAATACTTTTATTCAATTTCTTGATTCTGAATCAATTCAGAGGGCAGCTGCAGGCAAAGGAAGGCTTTTGCCTGGGTTCAGATTCACTTCCTCTCACTGTGTATGTCTGCTACACAGTAATACACAGCCATGTCCTCAGGTTTAAGGCTGTTCATTTGAATCATAGAATCATAGAGTTGGAAGAGACCACAAGGGCCATCAAGTCCAACACCCTGCCAAGCAGGAAACACCATCAGAGCAATCCTGACATATGGTTGTTAAGCCTCTGCTTAAAGACCTCCAAAGAAGGAGACTCCACCACACTCCTCGGCAGCAAATTCCAATGTCGAACAGCTCTTACTGTCAGGAAGTTCTTCCTAATGTTTAGGTGGAATCTTCTTTCTTGTAGTTTGGATCCATTGCTCCGTGTCCGCTTCTCTGGAGCAGCAGAAAACAACCTTTCTCCCTCCTCTATGTGACATCCTTTTATATATTTGAACATGGCTATCATATCACCCCTTAACCTCCTCTTCTCCAGGCTAAACATGCCCAGCTCCCTTAACCGTTCCTCATAAGGCATCGTTTCCAGGCCTTTGACCATTTTGGTTGCCCTCCTCTGGACACGTTCCAGTTTGTCAGTGTCCTTCTTGAATTGTGGTGCCCAGAACTGGACACAGTACTCCAGGTGAGGTCTGACCAGAGCAGAATACAGTGACACTATTACTTCCCTTGATCTACATGCTATACTCCTATTGATGAGGCCCAGAATTGCATTGGCTTTTTTAGCTGCCGCGTCACACTGGTGGCTCATGTCAAGTTTGTGGTCAACCAAGACTCCTAGATCCTTTTCACATATACTGCTCTCAAGCCAGGTGTCACCCATCTTGTATTTGTGCCTCTCATTTTTTTTGCCCAAGTGCAATACTTTACATTTCTCCCTGTTAACATTCATCTTGTTTGTTTTTGCCCAGTTCTCTAATCTGTCAAGGTCGTTTTGAAGTGTGATCCTGTCCTCTGGGGTGCTAGCCACCCCTCCCAGTTTGCAGATAGAGGAGGCTGTTGGAATTATCCCTGGAGATGGTGAATCGTCCCTTCACTTTATCCAAGCGAATGTCAGGTGAACCTGCATTTATACTTGCAACCCATTCCAGGCCGTTTCCCTGAGCCTGTCTTCCACAGTGCATCCATTTGCTGCTGAAGGTGAACCCAGAGGCTCGACAGGAGAGTCAGAGGGACTCCCCAGGCCTTTTCAAATCCCCTCCAGACTCCACCAGCTGGACCTCTGACTGGACAGCTAGAAAGAAAGGCATTTTAAGAGACCTGGTGTATGTCTTTAACACCCATAATGTACTAGCTTTCTTCAGCAGAAAGGATGGATTTACCTCCAAAGGCTGCTGAAAAGAAAACAAGCTGAAGTAAAGCTATCATTTTCCCTGTGTGAAATGTTGTCCCAAGCATGCAGGCAAAGGGAGGGTGTCTGACTGCCTTTGAGAGGAAGCTTTCTCTGAAGATTTACATACCCATTAGGA